CAGAAGAGGAGTTAACTGAATTAACTGAACCCATAGAAAACTGAAGTAATCTTTTTGGCCTTTTGCTTAAAACATTGCTGAAAGTTTGTTTTGCATAGTTAAAACTTTTCTTTTAAGCTATTTACAGCTTTTAACAATTGAGTATACTCCTGTGAACAAAATTTATGCCGGGCGCGGTGGCTCAAGCCTGTAGTCCCAGCACTTTGGGAGGCCGAGACGGGCGGATCACGAGGTCAGGAGATCGAGACCATCCTGGCTAACACGGTGAAACCCCGTCTCTACTAAAAAATACAAAAAACTAGCCAGGCGCGGTGGCGGGCGCCTGTAGTCCCAACTACTCGGGAGGCTGAGGCAGGAGAATGGCGTGAACCCGGGAGGCGGAGCTTGCAGTGAGCTGAGATCCGGCCACTGCACTCCAGCCTGGGCGGCAGAGCGAGACTCCGTCTCAAAAAAAAAAAAAAAAAAAAAAAAAAATTGGAGCATATTTGTTTCTCTCTACCTGATTTCTCCAGAATTTGGAAACTATTCTGTGAGTATTCTTAATTTATGGCATTATAGTTATTTGAATAAGTGCAATAAGAATCTGTTTTCTTTTGCAATAGGCCACAATTAGAGAAACTGGTTATTTTAGTAAGGCTTTGACTGGAATGGTGTGCTTTCCTTTAAGGAATCAAACTTAACTTATGGAGCCAATAAAGCCCTTGGAAAAACTGTCCTCATATTTTGTGTACACAGTCCCTGTATGGAGTCTGACCTGTGGTAAGTAAAGAATGTCACTTTCTGACAGGTGAAGAATCCCAGGTTTATCTTGGAACCTCAAGAGGAGAGAAAATTCACCCAAATCATAGCTATTTTATGGCACAAATCCATGGCTAGGCTCAGCTTTAAAAAGTCTTATCTGAGATTCCTCCTATGGAACAAAGTTCCATCAAAGCCAATTTAAAAGCCTATGTAAAAACTAATTATTCTTCCTGCACTGTATACAAATAATTAGCCAAGTATAATAATAATAAAAAAAAACCAGTCCTACCATGATTTGTCTTCAGTAAAAATGAGAAACTGGAGAGAGAAAAATTGTGTTTCAAAACTTCAGTAGACCTGTTGTTAGATTCTAGTCTTGCCTAATTTTTTTTCAATTTATAATATTCTCTACAGTTCAGACTGAATTCCAATTTTTCTTGGCTACAAGTCTTCAAAATAATGCTTTCAATTTTTTTCCTTCTTTTTTCCATTTTTCCTAATTCGGAGTCACTGAACACTAAGCTGTGCTTTCTTAAGACTCTGTGAACTGAAGCCAGACAACTTGAACTTCAGAAGAAAATAACAGCAAACTATTTACATACATAAGCCACTTTCATAGCTGCCTACTAATGTATGGACTTCAGAGTAATGTGGCCGATATCGATTTTTCTGGGATTATTCTTTTATTTTTTCTCTCTTCCTCCCTGCTATTTTCTCTTCACAGGACATGAGACTTCACAACCTGCTAAAAATGAGCTTTTGGGACTACCCAGCTAGGAATAAACTGTCCTAGCCATGAGAGATCAGATGAAACCTGAGACCAGAGACTCGTTTTCTTGTAAAATGCTTTCTCCAAAAGATTTTTAAAAAGGAAAAGGGGGAAATGTGAAAGGAAAATATCTTGGGCCCCCAAAATTACTAAGGAAAACTCAAGCTGGAAACCGCTTAGGGCAAACCTGCCTCCCATTTTATTCAAGGTCACTCCTCTGCTCACTGAGATAGATGCATATCTGACTTACCTCCTTTGGAAAGGCTGATCAGAAACTCAAAAGAGTGTAACTATTTGTGTGTCACCTATCTGTGACCTGGAAGCTCCCTCCCTGCTTCCTGCCTTTAGTTCAAGTTGTCCTGCTTTTTCAGACTGAACCAATGTACTTCTTAACTACATTGATTGATGTCTCATGTCTTCCCAAATGTATGAAACCAACCTTTACCCTGACCACTGTGGGCACGTGTCACCAGGACTTCCTGAGGCTGTGTCATGGCACATCCTCAACTTTGGCAAAATAAACTTTCTAAATTAACTGAGACCTGTCTCAGATTTTCTGGGTTCACAAAAGCAATTAAAATCGTGAGAGAAAGTATATGACATTTTGAGGATAGATCCAAGAAGTTTAGTATATTATATTGGCAGATGATGGGGAAAAAGGCACATAGAAGGAAAGGCAACATAAGAAAGGAGAAAAATTTTTGGACCAAGAAATACTTGAATCTACAGATTGAATGGATTCACCAAGTTTCAGGCTTGATTGATAAATTCACACATACACACACCCTTAGCAATACCCTGGAAAGATTCTGGAACTCCAAGGAAAAAAAGAAGTCTTTACAAACTTTTCCACTCAGAAAAAATAAATTGCCTTATTAATTATAATGCAAACCAAATCAGACCTCTTGTGCATCAGCAGCAGCTGGAAGTTAGTGGAATATCTGCAGACTTCTGAAATGCATGGACTCCAACTCAAGAATTTATTGACCAACCAAAGAATCATTTAGTTGTCAGAGTGATAGGAAGAAATTATTTGTAGGTATGTAAGAAGTCAAAGACTAATGCCTACATTTTCCCACCTTAAGAAAATACTTAAGAAGTGACTCTAGCCAGGTGATAGATTAACCATAAGAGAAACTACAAGATGATAAAGAAGGGAAGAAATGGTAGTGATACAGGAGCTGAAAAGAAATTATTTAGGCAGTTAGTGAGGGTAAGAGAGTCCTCGGTGAGGCTTCACTCAAAACCATTTCTTTTCTAACAAACAGCAGCCAGTAAAATCGAGCTGCAGACATAGATAAACAAGCTGGAAGCTTGCACAGGTGAATGATGGCAGCTGTGTCAATAGGAAAAGGCTACCTGGGGGCCAGGCATGTTCAACATGGAAGCTCCATCTTCCATTTTCTTTGTCACCACATGTGCAGTAAAGAAACAGGGAACATGGTGCCAGCTAGGTAGAAAACTCATTTGCATAATAAAAGATTAGGGTGCAGTGGCCAGCCTCTTCGGATGCTATGCAAATGGCACACTGGTCCAACCAATTCTCTGCACCCTATGTACATCAGACACCACCTTCTCAAGCCCATCTGTAAAACCAGCCGCATCTTGCCAGGTACCAGGAGATCCGTTTGGAACCCCCTCCTGCTGCACAAGGGAGCTTTTCTCTTTTGCCTATTAAACTTTCACTCTTTTTTTTTTTTTTTTTTTTTGAGACGGAGTCTCACGCTGTTGCCCAGGCTGGAGTGCAGTGGCGCGATCTCGGCTCACTGCAAGCTCCGCCTCCTGGGTTCACGCCATTCTCCTGCCTCAGCCTCCTGAGTAGCTAGGACTACAGGCGCCCGCCACCGCGCCTGGCTAATTTTTTTTTTTGTATTTTTAGTAAAGACGGGGTTTCACTGTGGTCTCGATCTCCTGACCTTGTGATCCGCCCGCCTCGGCCTCCCAAAGTGCTGGGATTACAGGCTTGAGCCACCGCGCCCGGCCTAAACTTTCACTCTTAAACTCACTCCTTGTTAGTCTGTTTCCTTGATTTCTTTGGTGTGAGGCAATGAACCTCGAGTATTACCCCAGACAAACAACACTGCTTCAGTAGTGAGCAACAAAATGTAGAACAAATAAGTCAATATAAAGACATATATAGATGAAATATGTCTAGATAATCACAGACTGAGAATGTATAAGTGCAGATATGAAACAACATAATAGCTAAATATATGAAGCAAAACCTGTAAGAAATACAAGAAAAATTTGATTAAATAAAATTATATTGGAAAACTTAAATTTTTTTTTTCAGAATTGGATAAATTTGGTATATAGCAAATGTGGGATGGCATAGGAATTAAATAATACAATTAATAAATGATGTGGTATCTATGTGTAAGATCTAACATCCCTCGAACAACAAGAAAACATGTTTTCATACCGATAGAATATTTACAAAAGTCAGTCATATTTGACCAAGAAGAAAACCTTAACAGACTCTAAAAACCACACTCCTTGATTTCAAGCCAACAGATTGAAAACAAATAATGTAAAGATAGCAAGAAACCATACACAGAAAAAAATGTTTTAAGTTATAAAATATCTATAGAGCAACGAAAAAGAAGACTTTTTACCAAAATCCAAATGACACAGTGGAAATTACTCAGAAGAAAATGTGTACCTTAATGTTTTCATAAAATAATATAAAAATAATGTTAGATTTCATTTCAAGAAATTAAAAAAAAGAGCAACAAAGTCAATTTTTAAAAATTAGAAAGACGGCCGGGCACAGTGGCTCATGCCTGTAATCCCAGCACTTTGAGAGGCCGAGGTGGGCAGATTACGAGGTGAAGAGTTTGAGGCCACCCTGGCCAACATGGTGAAACCCCATCTCTACTAAAAAAAAAAATACAAAAATTAGCTGGGCATGGTGGCGGGCGCCTGTAGTCCCAGCTACTCTGGAGGCTGAGGCAGAAGAATCACTTGAACCTGGGATGCGCAGGTTGCAGTGAGCCGAGATCGCGCCACTGCACTCCAGCCTGGGCGACAGTGAGACTCTGTCTCAAAAAAAAAATAAAAATAAAAATAAAAATTAGAAAGAGGATTTATAAAGACAAAAGCTAAAATTAATTTAATAGAAAACAGTAGAATGGACAAATAAATATAAAATCCTTTGCAAAAGATGAAAAAGATCTATTCTGATTAAGAAAAAAGACTGAGCAAAAGGAATAAAATTAAGAATTCTGTAGAAAACTACAAATGAGGAGAAATTAAAATTATAATAAGAGAAACCCATGGCAACAAACTGGAATCCTAAAGAAAATAGCTGATTTCCTAGTAAAAATACAAATTACCAAAATTGACTCTGAAATAAGGATGGTATAAATAGATCAATTAGCACAGAAAAGTTTGGAATTGTCCTTAAAAGTCTTGCATTGGGAAAGATCCCACGATTACATGGGTTCACAGCTGAGTGTTAGTTGACTTTTTACTGAATTCTTTTTTTCTTGGTTTTTAAAAGGCTTTATTGGGGAAACGTACAGTGGTGAAGACTGTCCTTGGAGGCCTCAGGACGCCATCCTCCATGTTGCTGGGCAGTCGAAGTCCCCCGGGGCCCCTGCTCAGAAGCGTGTCACCAGTCTCTGCGGGGGCCTAGTCTGTGACTCCTGAAGGGGCCCATCCAGGGTAGCCACTACCCCCCATTCCTTGCTGCTGCTGCTCCTGTTCCAGGTTCCACTGCAGGACCTGCGCTGGTTGGCAATGACTTGCAGCATGCCATTGAGGAAGTTGCCCTGGGGGATGAGGCCGATGAAGATTTTCTTCTCAGAGGAGTACAGGAGCATGAGCACACGGATCTCGCACGACGCTTTGTAGGAAAAGTGCACTCACCCGGCGAAGCCATTGTCCATGATCCGGCACAGGCTCTTCAGCGTCTCCAGGTCCTTGGTGAAGTGGAAGTGCACCAGGCGCTAGTTCTGCAACAGCAGCACCAGGGTGGTCAGCAGCTGCTGCGGAATGAGCTGCATGTACAGCTTCCTCGGCCACTGCTCGGTCCTCAGGATCTCCCCTGGTTCACGTAGACGTGGGACCGCAGCCACCTCTTGGACCGACTGTTGGGATCAGGCCTGGGTTCCTGCCACTCCATGACGCCGCTCCACGCCAGGAACTTCTTGTTGACTGGGCCTGAGTTGACACCACCAGGTCCCACTGCCTGCTTGTGGGTAGTGATGACCTGCCGGATGGCGCTGACGAAGCCGCTCTGGTCATAGGGGATGAAGCCCATGAAGATCTTCGTCCTGGAAGAGTACAGGAACATGAGCACGCACATCTTGCAGGGGGAGATGTGGGGAAACTGCGTGCAGCCCGCGAAGCCGTTGCTCATGATGCGGCAGAGCCTGTTGAGCAAGCCGCAGTCTCTGTTGCTGAAGTGGAACTGTGCCAGCTGGGAGTTGCGGAACAGGGGTCTCAACGTGGCCATCAGCTGCTGCGGGATCAGCTGCATGATCAGCTTCAGCTGCCACTGGTTGGTCTCCAGGTTCACGTAGGCTTGGCAGAGCAGGGCGCGCTTCAACTTTACAGTGGAGTCGGAGTAGAGTCTGCGCTTCTCCTGTCACTCGAGGACGCCGCTCCAGGCCAGCAGCTTGTTGCACTCAGGGTCAGACCCCTGAGGGTGAGCCCAGGTGAGGAGGGACCGGTGGCACCCAGCGCCCCGAAGACCCGAGCACTTTTCATGGGAGGGGCCGAGCAGGCCCGGAGCTGCAGAGGCTGCGGGCCTCGGGGGCTGGCCGGCCAGGAGCGCTAGCGGACAGCGCGCACTGCGAGGGGCCGCGCGGGGCGGCCGTGACCCCCTAGGGGGCCCCTGGCTCCAGAGCGGTACGGGGCCCGGCGCGGACTGACCATGGCCGGCGCGGGCGAGGGGCGAGCGGGCGGGGAGCTGCCGCGGGCCACACAGGGGGCTGCGGGCTCCATCGACTGAGAGGCGCGGGCTCGCGGCTTCGGGGGAGACGGGCTGAGCTGTACCAAGCGCGGGAGACGCGCCGCCGGAGAGCGGTAGCCGCGACCCAACCACTGCAACTTTTACTGAATTATAATGTTATTTTAAATGGTCAAGGCCTAGAAAAAAAAAAGGGGGGACTTTCCTCGATTCATTTCATAGTTTAATATTAATATAGTTAACATAGTTCATCTAATCTGCCAATGATTATAAAATTCACATTATGTACCATTACACTTCTTAGCACTTAGAATATTTATTTTTAAGTTTACCGAAAGCACTGCTTTGGGCTTTTTTTGAGACAGAGTCGCTCTCTGTCGCCCAGGCTGGAGTGCAGTGGCGCAATCTCCGCTCACTGCAAGCTCCACCTCCCGGGTTCACGCCGTTCTCCTGCCTCAGCCTCCCGAGTAGCTGGGACTACAGGCGCCTGCCACCACGCCCTGCTAATTTTTTGTATTTTTAGTGGAGACGGGATTTCACCGTGTTAGACAGGATGGTCTCGATCTCCTGACCTCATGATCCGCCTGCCTGGGATTACAGGCGTGAGCCACCGCGCCCAGCCTGCTTTGGGCTTATTTTAAGAGATTTTTGAACATCTATCATTCCTCAGCATTTTTTATTTTTTTATTTTTTTGAAACAGAGTCTCACTCCCGTCATCCAGGCTGGAGTGCAGTGGCATGTTCTCAGCTTACTGCAACCTGTGCCTCCCAGTTCAAGCAATTCTCTTGCCTCAGCTGGGATTACAGGAATGTGCCACCACGTCTGGCTAATTTTTTTTTTTTTTTTTTTTTTTTTTTTTTTTGTATTTTAAGCAGAGACGGGGTTTCATCATGTTGGCCAGGCTGGTCTCGAACCCCTGATCTCGGGTGATGCGCCCGCCTCGGCCTCCCAAAGTGCTGGGATTACAGGCGTGAGCCAAAACGCCCAACCTCATTCTTCTGCATTTATAAAAAAGGAAATAGCTTCATGCTCAGAGTTTTGTTCTTTTGGATCACTTTTCAAGTCAAAGCTGCTTATGTCAGCGTTTCTCTATGTAATACTGTCCTCTGCACCAAAAATCATGAATATGACCTTTTCCAAAAGAAGCATCCATTATTGTCTCTGTGATTTTTGACATTCTGACATTCAGTTGGCAAGTTTTGATGCCGTAGCTTTCTTGTTATTGCCAGCAGGTGTCAATGGAAGGTTCCAGGCAAGTTCACACAGGCATAGGTACAGGCACAGGTGATGATAACTGTCATGATGGCCCTGGCCAATGGCAATCATCCGCCTTATCCTGATTTCAGAGATGTTAAAATGTGAAAAAAATATGCATCATGGAATCAGTGAAATATAGTAGTACACTACCAGAAAATTATAGTTAACCTCACACATAGAGTACAGGCACAATCATCCTAGATAAGATATTAGCAACTGGAACCCTGCAATGTGTCTAAAGAATAATGACCAAATACCCAGACCTTGGTATTTGAGAAGCAGTTGGGCAGTTAACAGGAAGAGAAACTGAGTGAAGGTAATGAAGCCATGCCTTTTTTTTTTTTTTTAGAAAAACAGTATTTGCCTGGAGACCCGAGTTACAATCCTGGCTTAGTCACGTACCATCCATGTGACTTGGACCAGTACAAGTCATTCCTTGGTCCTGTGTCTTCGAGTAAAAGGAGAACCTCCCCAAGGTTCTTTTCAGCTCTGATATTCAAGGAGTCCATGAGTCTAGGACAGTTCCTCAACTACCAAGAAGAATCCATCTCAGGTTTTATGTAGGATCTGTACAAGTCAAACCTTGGTTACTCAGGTAGAAAACTGGTCACACTGCCCAATAAATCCTCCTGCTCTCTAATTTCACACAGTGCAGAGTCTAATCAACAGCTTGAATAGAAATAAAACATTACCAGGTTCCCCTCCCCAACCTATTTCAGACAAATATGCATGTCCCTGGCTCCTTTCTGAACCCAAGCCTAGGTAGGCCTCCTACGCAAATCGCCTTCAGGGAGTCAACAGGCAGAGCCTTGAGCCTGTTTCTACTGCCACCCTGCAGCTTCTCACGCACTCAGACACTCTGTTCCTGTGACTTCTTGATTCCCCTCTTGATATTTCTTTTATTTAAAATAAATTTACATATATTTGTTTACTAAAAAAATTAAATGAAAAAATATACATAACCTCAAATTTACCATTTTAACCATTTTTAAGTGTCCGGTTCAGTGGCATTAAGCACATTCACATTGGTGTGCAACCTATTTACTTTTTCCATTAACAAAATTATATGCCCTTAGTAACAAATGCAAATATTTTCTAAAGGTATCAAATGAAAACTGAAGGTCTCCCAGTCATTCTTTCCTAAGGAAATTATTCAAGTTTCTTGTGGATCCTTCCAGCAATTAATATATATGTGTGTGCTGTTTTGTATTTACACAGGCAGTTTTCATTTTTAAAGATTTATACACATTGTGTTGCCTCTTGCTTTTTACATTTAATAAAACATTTTGGAGCTGTTTCTATGTCAACACACACAGCTCTATCTCATTCTTTTCATTGTTTTAAAATGCGTGATTATGAGATAATTTAACAGGTATCCTATTGTGTTATGTTTTTTTCAGTTTTTCTGTGGCTTTTTTTTTTTTTTTTTTTTTTTTGCTACATTTGGTTTTTCTATTACAAATACCATCCTTGAAAATACAATTTGTCATATATTAGCTATTACATCTGCAGTCTCAATTCTTAACTGTGGGATTGCAAGAATAAAGGAGATGTGCATTTGTGTCCTTTTGCTATTATACAACTGTGATTGTAAGTAGAGTGCTTTCCTGAATTCTTTGTAGCCAACTGGTCAGAGGTGAGGGTTACCTGGGGACCTTAAACTAGCAGATACTGCCTGAAGTGAGGGCAGTTTGGCCTAACTCTGGTAGTTGGTGTTAGAACTCATAGGGAAGGAGAATCTCTAGGCAGAAGTTGGGACTGTGAGGTCCAGTCACCCCTACCTTTGGGGAGAGTCTAGTTCTATGACACAAAGGGTTAAGAAAATTAATTTCCATTCATGCTTATTACTAAAGACTTGAGCAACTCTGTGAATTAGCAAATGGACTGTCCTTCTGGAATGTTCTTTGATATCTCTGTTCTAAAGACTTGGCCTGATAGGCTACTTCTATAGGCCAAGGGAAGATAATAGTTTCATCAAGGGTTGTAAGTTATTCAACTTTTTGTCCCTCTCTGAGAACCTACAAGAGTGCTTCCCTATGATAGATAATTAAAATAATAATAGTAGTAATAGTAGTAGTAGTAATAATTATTTTATTTTATTTTATTTTTCTTACAGAGATGGTGTCTCACTTTGTCACCCAGCCTGGAGTGCAGTGGTGCAATCTCAGCTCTCTGCAGCAATGACCCCCCAGGCTCAAGTTATCCTCCTGCCTCAGCCCCCCAAGTAGCTGGGACTACAGGCATGCACCACCACACCCAGCTGTTTTTTTCGTTGTTGTTGTTTTTTGTTTTTTTTTCCAGAGATGGGTTTTGCCATGTTGCCCAGGCTGGTCTCAAACTCCTGAGCTTAGGCAATCTGCCCTCCTTGGCCTCCCAAACTGTTGAGATTACAAGCATGAGCCACCACGCCTGGCCAGTAACAATAATTTAATAGAACTCAGGAAGGTCCACATATGGTCAAAGGGCTTGAGAATCACCTATCTTATGGGTTAAAAAAGAAAAGGTCAAGCCAAAACAATAAAGATGGAAAGGAAATGTGATGACAGTTTATGAAATCATGGAAAGTGTAACGGAGGCAACCCAGAGCTGGAAAATTTAACGCAAGCAGTATACACAGTGGATAACAGACTGTGAAATAGTGCAAACTGCAAATATCAAAAGGGTTTAAAGGAAATTCAAGAAATACAAACTAAAATAGACAATTTATTAACGAAAAATAAAGATTCAGGAAATTTATCATAACTTTCTGAGGTCATAGAGCAGAATCAAGCATTTGTACAATATGTGCTTAGGATTCACTCCAGAAGTAGAGGCCTCAGAGGAGATAAATGGCAATGACTCAGTCTCATCTCCTGAAAGGAGATTACACCAGACTTGGCTCAGCCTGCTTAGGATACGCTGAGGCTCATTCAGTTGCCCAGTCATGTTGGAACTCTTGGACCTGCCCTCAGTTGTCAGTTTACACACCCCAAAAGAAATCATTTTAGTCTTTTCTCTGGGATCCCTGACACATTTCCATTTCTACTGGCACTGTTGTGTACTCTGGTAGGGAGGGAGACTGAACAAGTCTTGGCAATTTGTTATTATTTATTAAGGAGTCCAGCTCCAGGTCAAAATCCTATGGGTGATCTTTCAGGCCTGATCATAAGCAATTACTGGGCTTTGTCTGGCAGGCCTGATTGAGGAGAAGCTGCCTCCCCATACCACACTTGCACTGTCAGTGCATTGTAGCTTTGTGAAGGGAGTTGCAGTCAAGAACTCAGCCCTTCTTCTCCCCACCCCAACCAGCCATGCATATTCACAATCCTGGCCCTGGTGCCTTCATTCACCGCCCTCCTTACTGGGGGCTTTGCTGAGGCACTTTTTCCCACTTTGACTCAGTACCTTTCTACTCCTAGACCTTCTCCCCCTGTCTCTCAGGTCTATAAAGAGGCAGGAGCCTTTTGTTCTGGGCTCCTTAACAGTGAGACGATTCCCTCCATGTGTACAGCACTCACCTGAAAAGTTCTCAAAGTACGTACATTAACAACCTGAGAAGTTTTCAAAGTACGTACATTAACAAACTAAATGCTCAGCAATAAGGACTGTGCAAATAAATTTTGGTACATTTATAAGATATAAGACTATGCAGATATTTTAAATGATAACAGATATAAAAATACACTGATTACAGGCAGTTTAAAGCAACATGTGTTCTGTATTTGCATT